GGAGGAGATGGAGGAGGAGGTGTTGGAGCACGCGAAGCACGCACCACCTAATTAATTAACAAAGTGTGAATATTCTCATACAAATTGTTGTACACGAATTTAATGGGGAATGGGAAAAGGGGGGGGGGGGAGGCTGTGTGACACTTAACAGTTGTTTCTCAAAGCTATTTGAAAGTCGGATTTCAGTACACAACATGCCCAGACGTCGACGACCCCGTTGCAAGGTGAAACCGTTGATAGCGCTGCGCGATGATGCCGGCGACAGCGAGGCAAGTCAGGAGGAGCTGATCGAGAGCAAAAGCGACGAGGTGGATGTGCCCACAGAGCACCACGATGTGGCGCCCAGTGTGCCAAGCCATGACTGGGAGTACAGACTCTTTCCGGAGCTGCACAATCAGCTGCCCTGTCTGCCCACCTTTGCCGATATCTTTGGCCAGCATTCGGACGTCATTTTCCAGGAGAATATGCCGGCGGCTGCCCTGCCGGAACCGGAGCCGGAGCCGGTTAGCAGCCGGAGCAGCATGCCGGATCAGCTAAACCTATCGACTGCATTGTTGCCAGATCTTTTTGGCCTGAGCGGACTCGTTGCCAACCTGCGCGCCACACGCAGCAATGCGAATGCCGTTCAATTGGTCACCGGCGAGGATCTGACCACATTTGGACTGGACCTGGCCAGCCAGGGTGACATCTATGTACATTTCAATGGACCATTTACACAGCAGCCAGCTGGTCGCAGCTCCGCCAACTGCGCCTTGGAGCTGGGCATGCGGGGCATGCGCGATGCCATGGACAAATATCCCACAAAGCCGCCCGTTTGGGAACCGTTTGTGCCCGATACCAGAAATCTGGGCCTGGTGCTTCCTGTTCCGAAGTTGTCGCAGCCGTCACACGATAAATCTGCCTAGTTTGATGTCAACCTTTGGCAACCTTTCAAATTGCTGTTCTTTTGTTTTGGTTTATTGTCAGCCATCAGCAAATATTTCGCCCATCAATTAAACACACATCTATTAACTGTTTCAATATAAAACAAAAAACAAACAGAGCTGATACCATGACGAAACTAAAACAATCCAAGAACTGAGTGCAATAGAAGAATTTTAATTTTTTCCTACGGGCCTTATACTGTATTTAGGTTTTTTAGGATCCAACATAACACAAGAGATCAGTTTTCATTATTTGTTTTTTTTTGTTGGCATTTGTTGTTTCTTGTTCTTTTCTTTTTAGAGAATTATAAAATGTATCTTTTCTTGAAATTAAACTTTTGCAATTCCTTTTTACAAAATACCCAATAAATAAAGTAATTTACAGTCTGTTTTCTGTGTGGGTTCATCGAGCCTCCGAATGCGATTTTTCGAGTGTCCGGAATTAAGATTTACAAATTTTCAAACTTATCTATGTGATTTCCGAATTTTTGTAGACTTTGAAACTGTTAAATTTGTAGTTAAAACTCATTGTACATACGATGTGAATAACTTATATATTCTCCCTTTTATGCCTTGCCAGATCGGTGTTCCAACTGGTTTCCACTTTGTTAAAGATCATTTTAAATAAATAGATTGAAAACTATCCATGATATATTGATATAAGTTCCATTTCAGCTGGATTCCACTTAATAGAGAAAATATTAACAATAAAGTCAAAGCACGAAATACTCGGAGTACATTTTTAAAAGAAAAAAAATTTTCATTTTCAACTAAAGTCCACTCGGTTAGAGAACTTTTGAAAACAAAGTTTTTTAAATATCCCTAATATATTGATAAAAATCCCATTTAACCTAAAGTTCACTCTGTCGAAGAACATTTAAACAAATATTTAGAAAATATCTCCATCAGACTTATATAAATTTCGAATTAGAAAATATAAACGCTGAACTCGAAGCACAAAAAATTTAAAAATTATAGAAAAAAAACTGAAAAATATCCCCAATATATTTATTAACACTGATAAACTCTTGAAAGTAGGAACAAAACATCAATTTTTATTAAAATTAAATAAAAGTTTAGAGCAAAAAATATAATCTAAAATTAATAATCGAAAAACAAAACGGAAAGACGGAAAATTCATTTAAAAAGAAGTAAATAAATATTAAAAAAAAATATTGAAAAAGTGCGAAAGGGGAAAAAAAACAAAATATATTTTGAATTTCTATAAAATGTAGGAAGACTTTTCCTTAATGCTTTTTATTTAAATGAATATTTATTTAACCAAGTTTTTCTCTTTTAGCAATTTTTTTAAAGGTTGTCCTTGATATCTGTTGCCTACCCTATACTTATCTATAAATACAGGGTATCTGCTAGCTTAGCTTAGTTAAAGCTCATTCTTTTATTACTTGCTTCGGCAGCGTTTATTCAACTTTTCATAGCTTTTTCATGCTGCAGCATTGTGTAAATTTATATTCCGCTCGCATTTGACTATATTGCAGATATACTCAGATAAACATCAGATATATATATATATATATATATATATATATTTATATGTGTATGTACGCATACATATATTTTTGACACAACGACACCAAAAACTAAAAATAATCTTAGAGGAAAATAAAGAAAAATAAATCATTTTTGTCTGTGCGGCGGCACGCGAATGTTTTTCGAGTAATTTGATTTTGTTGGCCAGCTCAACATGTTGGCTGGTCGCTTGCCACATTTGCCGCACTTGCCACATTTGCTGCATTTGCTAAATGCATTTGAACATTTGCTCCGATCTGCGTTTTATAGACATTACGCACTGACAGATAGGGCCCGCTTTATAGCGGCCGTTGTTCTGGGCTCGTTTGCCATCCTGAGCACGGGCAGCGCCTAATTGAGTCCACATAATAACGCTGTCAAGAGTGGGGGATAGAGATAGATGCCACTCTGTGGATTGGCAACGAACATACACATGCCACATGCCACATGGCAATCTTCATCTCTGCCCAGCTTCATCTTCTGCCACTTTCCTTGTCTGTCCGCTTGCTTGTTTTGCACATTGTTGTGCTATATTTGCGTTTGGCATTCCATTTCACCAACAACAACAACAATAACAACAACAGCGAAAACAATTAACTGGGCGCGTACCGTCCTCCTAGGAGCGCCCACCCTCCCCTCTGTCCTCAACACGCTGGGCGGGCGGTACTTAGGCGCTCAAGAAATATGCATTTTTTATGGCACATGTCATTCGTGTGGCGTGGGCCGCTTGGCGCCAGCGTGTAGCTCCAGGGACAGGGCTATAGGCTGCATTATGGCTAGGGGGAGTGTGGTGGCCGGGGGCGGGGGCGACAGTTCAGTAATCAAGGCAGCTGGAATTTCTTGCACGATTCACATTCGAGTATTCGGAAATTCATTCAGGTAAATCGTTGATTTTTATAGCCACTTTCAACGCTTTAACTGTGACTTCATTCGGCACTCAGATTTTCATTGGAATTTTCATAGATATTTACCGGGCATTTCTTGGCCTTTTAATGGCTTCATTGCGGCCGAAACTCGAACTGAAATATTATAATTATTACTTTTACTGTTCTCATTAGCCTCAGCACAAAAATTATTATTATTATTATTAATAATTTTTGTTATACTATTATTATTATCATTATTATTACTATTATTAGTGTGAGAAGCAGAAGGTATATTCCCCCCTCAGCCCAAAAAAGTATTATTATTATTATATTTAATAACATAATTTTTTTATTATTCTTTTTATTACCATTATTTTAATTATTTTTTTTTTATTATTATTCAGTATATTTTATTATTGATTTATTAAATATTGTTATTGTTATGATTGGTATTATTATAATTATTTTCATTAATATATAATTATCATTGTTATTATCATTAACATTAGAAATGATTTATTCAAACTTTTGTTGCCAATTTCTATAAAAAGCTGACATGAATTCGGCAATATTTATGTCTGTCTGGCTGATCCAAGTGATATGCATAGATCCTCAGCTCGCTGCCTCTGGGCATAAAGGGACGTAGGTGCTAGGGGCCAGATTTTCTAATGCGCGGCGCGCCCAAGATTAGAAGGCAGATGTTGAAATAATCGAAATGAATCTGTTTACACGTCCAAATTAATTGAAAAACGCGTGCTACAGCGCCATTTAATTGAAAATGAAATTGAAATAAAGCGAAAGAGAAGGCAATGCCATGCCAGAGGCGAGTTCAAAGCGGCCCAAAACCGCGTGTGGGCGCCCCTCTCTGTTGCCCCCTCTAAAGGTGGGGTGAGGAGTATTTCTGGTCGATGGCGTTGATGTGTCTGCGGTGCTGCCCCTGTCCCTGACTATGCCCCGTTGAAGATGATAAAATGTGTGCGAATAATTGTCGAACGCATCTCTCAATGAAATTCTCAGATTCTCAGCATATGCAATCGAGAAGGAACGCCTGAGTGCGCCAATCAATCAATTCCAGTTCGAATTACTCATCGATTTCCCCGGCGTGCAGTTTTCCGGAGTTAAAGTTCTCTGCATGGTGTAAAGGAAATTTATTTCAATTAGAGGAAAACTTATTTTATTACGTGGGGTAGTCTTGTGGTGAGCACTTTGTACTTGCAGAATTATTTAAACTATCAGGAAATAAAACCTTCGTTTCACTCTCACTCGCTTGCTCTCTCTTGATCAATATTGCTTAATCTCACTCTTTCCTTCACCAACTGTCTCTTTGCCTATCTGTTTAGGGGTCTATCTCTCCCTTTATCTTTCTAACATTCTCTTATTTGTTCTTTCTGTCTATATTTTTTTTGAACCTTCACTATCTTCTACTCTTTCTTTCCACTTACTATCTCTTATTCCCTATCTACATCTTATTCCATATAAATATCCATTTACAATTTTCTCTCTCTCTTTTACATGCTCTCTCTCTTTCAATTCCTTCCACTTGCTATGTTCCTCTTTTGAATACCGCCTTTCTATGTGATTTTCATAGCTTGAAGTACAATTTACAGAAATCAATGCAATATTTATTTTCGTATTCAACAATTTTAATTGAATTATTTAATAATTTATCCCTATGTTGCAGACACCCTGGAAATCGAACTTGGGCAGTTCCTACAAGCCAGCCAGCTCAGCAGTAAGTACCATACTTTCGATTTCTTTAGCCAATTCCAACTGATCCAATCTTTACTTTCAGTACACACTGGGCTCTGATATAGGCAGCGGCTCTAGCTCTCGCTACAGTTCACTGGCCACGCCCAGCTCCTATAGGCCTTCGTTCTCCGGTGGCACATACCGCATCAAGCGCGATCCTCCCGCACCAGCGCCCGCCGTTACCAGCTACGTGAGTCGCTATGGCAGCTGTGCTGCCAAGACAGATGCCGCCAAGGACGCCAACGCCAGTTCCAGTGATCGGAGCAGTCCCATCAAGCGTTACACGAGCGCCAGCAGCAGCAAACTGAGCAAGTATGGAAGATCGCGGGATCCCAGTCCGGTGGCGCTGGAGCACACGAATCGCGGCAAGTCCAAGTCGCGAGATCCCAGCCCAGTGTTGGACAGCGCAAGGAGCAAACTGGGCAGCGCTGCGTATCGCAGCAGTGCTTCGAGGAACGGCTACAACAGTCGCTATGCGCCAGGTGCGCGACTCAATGGCGCCAGCACCACGCTGGACAAGTCCATATCCTATCTGACCACCAGCGATTTTCATGCGAGGACCGCCAGTCGCGCCAAGGCCAGCAGGGAGAAGGAGCTGGACGTCACAGAGCAGCCAGCGGAGTTGACGGCGAAGGCGGCCAAGGAGCCATCATCGGAGGAGGAGCTAAGCACCAAAGAGCAGAAGGAGCAGCAGCAGCAGCAGCCGGAGGAGGAGCCGCCGCCAGTGGAAACCTTTGTCTCCGTGCTGGTGGTGACACGCGCCACTTCACCCACGCCACCGGGCAGCACCACCGTGCAGCGTACCCGCCGCATTGACATAGCCAAAACTATTGAGAAGACCATACAGCGCTCGACGAAGCCGCGCCAGATGCTGGAGAAGGAGATCCAGTCGGATCGGCTGGACGACTCGACGCGCTACCTGCGGTACAGCGCCGGCAGCAGCAGCATCAGCTCCAACTACAGCACGCACAGGGATCGCATCAGCAGCCTGCGCTACAGCGCCAGTCCGCAGGCGAGCAGCTCACCCAAATCCGGCACACCGAGCGTGGAGGCGTGCAAGCCGCAGCCCACGGAGTCGGCGTCGACAAAGAGCAATGCCAGCGTGAGCCTGGCCAGCTCCAAGTCCAGCAGCAAGTCCAAGCTGTCGCCGCCCAAGGCGTTGCGCTTGAATTCGCGTCAATCCTCGGTGGAGAATCTTGTGAACAAGCCGCCGGCTGCGCCCAGCAAGGCGGAGTCGCCCACCAAGAACGGCAGCAGCAGCAGCAGCCAGAGTAACTCTAGCAGCGCCCTGGCCAAGTGGCCCTGGCCCAACAAGGACTTCCGCAAGAGCTCACTCAACGTGGGCCCCACGGACCGCCCACGCAAATCGCGCACGCCCAGCAGCGGCGGCGAGTCCGAGGAGCCGGCAGCTGGAGGCGGCTCGCAGCTAGAACGCTCGCCCAGCGCCGGCTCCGAGGGCAGCCCAATCTCCGCGAGCAGCGCACGCAAGGCGTCAGCCAAGCAGACAAATGGCAAGACGGCAACCGGTGCGAAGCTGAAGGCGCACAAGTCATGCGCGCCCGGCAGCGGGAGTGGAAGTGGCAGCACGAGCGGCAGCACAAGCGGGAGCAGTGCCAGCTGCACGACGACCTCCGCCTGCTCCTCCTCGGACAGCGAGGCGGTGCGCGGCAAGACGACGGCCAAAAAGCAGAGCAAGAAAAAGACGCCGGCAACTGGCAGCCAGCAAAAGGGGAAAGAGAAGGAGAGTGAACGCGAGAGGGAGCGGAATGGGGAGCAGACAGAGAAAGAGGCAAAGCAGCGAACAGGTGAGGGCAGCGATTCGGCTGCCAAGCAATTAACAATGGGACACCAAAATAGCCACAAATCTGCCACTGACTCACGCTCCGGCGAGGCGGTCGGCGGGACGCAGTCGCGTCTGCAGAAGCTCTCGGGCGTATCGAATTTTTTTGCCACTCGTCAGCCGGACGCAAATAGTGAGCCGATCTTCCTCGAAAGCTCCGAGAGCGCCGGCAGCGAGTCGGAGCAGCCGACCGCGCTGGTCAGTCTGATGCTAGACACGCAAACGAACGAACCAACGACAAGCTTAGGAGCAAATCCTTCACTGAAGACGACAACAACGAACCCAACGACGCCCAGTTCCACCACGCATTGTCCCGGAGAGACGACTACGACGACGAGGACAAAGCTGACGCCCAGTACGGAGAGTCTGGAAAGCGAAGCGCAGCCTTCACTCGAGGAGCACACGGAGGAACCCAGCTGGTGGCAGGACACCAGCCTGCAAATCAATACAGACTCCGCCTTGGACTACAATAATCGCAGCGAGATGCCCTTCAGGCTGCGACACATCGATTCCGGCGATGATCACGCCTGGTGGCTGCGACCGGATGAGTCCGCCGGGGATGAGGATGATACGCTGGCGGAGGCGACGCTCAATCCCCTGGACGATGAGCAGGACGCCAGTGCGGCCACGGTGTCGCAGGGCGAGCGCGGAGGAGGAGGAGGAGGAGGACATAGTCAAACGGGGTGGTGGAGCAGCAGCAAGGACGACAACGAGATTCAAAACGAAAGCAAAACGAGCAACGGCTTTGGCCCAGAAACGGAACAGGACCAGGAACAGGAGCAGCAACACAGCCAGGAGATCAGACGCATGCCACGCAGTCGCATCTCGCCGGAGCACGATGCCTGGTGGCTGGAAGAGGAGCAGCCGCAGGACACCAAATCGAATGGCTACCACGAGGATTGCAACAACAACAACAACAACAGCGAGCCGCACGTGGAGGTGACCCTCAAGCTGCCCAGCAGCGGGCGCAGCTCCAAGCAGTCCACCCAATCCACGGACAGCGCGCAGTCCTGGTGGCAAGCGGCGCCCAGCAAAAAGTTGTTCAATGTGCAGCGCGTGGAGTCCGGCGAGCGTGCCTGGTGGCAGGAGAAGGAGAACGAGCCGCCGCCAGTGAAGCAGCCAACGACGCCGCCGCCGCGCATCATCAAGCACTGGGAGTCGGGCGAGCGCGCCTGGTGGCTGCAGGAGGATGAGAAGGAGGTGGAGCCGGAGACAGCGCCACCTGCCACCGACCAAGTGGATGCCCAAGTGGAGCGTGCCAACAATAGCATTGCTGCGCAGGAGGCGCCCAGCGAGCTGAGCAGCTCCTTCAACTTCGCCTACTCGGTGCGTCCGCCGCCGTTGGGACAATGCGCCAGTCCGGTGCCCGCGGAGCCCAGCGAGCAGCGAAAGCTCTGTGCATCGCCCTACGATAACATTCCAATGTCAAAAGTTCAAATGGCAGCGCCGCAGTCGCAGTTGCAGTCGCCGTCGCCGCCAACGCCGCCGCCCCGTTACTCTTATACGCCCCCAGCGGGCCGTGTGGGCGATAAGCTTTTTATTTCGCGTCATCAAAACATTGACGAGCTTTTGGGTGGCGCATGCCGCCCGCTCAGTCCGCTCTTCTACAGCGGCGCCGCAGAGAACGAGGCGACGTCACTGCCACTGGCGAGCAAGAATATATTTCTGCTCGAGGAGATTACGCCGGATCAGGTGCGCATTCACGATAGCACCGCTCAGTTGCCGGTCATACAGCGCATGCAGCGGTGAGTATGAAGAGCCTAAAGAGAGCGCGCGAGCGTGTGCTTTCTGTTTGTTGTGTGGTGAATTTTGCTCAACATGTGATTGTCTTCTCTCTCTCCCTCTCTCTCTTTCTCGTTTGATCTTGCAGCGATGTGGAATGGCTAGAGAATGGCAACAGCAGCAACTTTTATGAGCAACAGAAGCAGCAGCCGCAGCAGCGCAGGGTAAGTGGCAATTTCCTCTCCCTCTCTTCCGCTCTCTCTCACCAACAAACACACCCTCAACATATTGCAACAATTTTGGCAACCTGCCCGGCTCGTTACGCTATCGACTGCTCGTCGCCAAAGACGCCCACGCGTGTGTTTATTTACCAATGCATACACTAACATGCGATTGCAGCACATTAGCTATGTCAACAAGTTTGTCACGAAGACTTTGAGTGGCTTTTGTGTGAGATCTTTTTATATTTTGTCTCACATGTCAAGTAGAATACCTAAATTTTTATTCATAATATATTCAAGCATGGACAAGCCCGTAGCTGGTAGTGCATGCAAATGTCAGGTAAGCTCCGTGGTAGAATTTATGAAAATGCAGCACAAAACGATCTGTGCGATACTTGAGATATGCCAAAGGGCAAGTCAAGGCACAACACACCTAAATCCAGCGCCTTATCTGAGCCATCTTTGGCGAGATGCCGTCTTGAATGACAGCTCTCAAGTGTGGCCCCGCGGTGTGACTCACAAAGCGCAGCAGAAAATGCGGAAGAGCTAAAAATATTATCTTAATTACATGCAGTCAGGCAGCGCGGCTCGCACTCGAACTCGAACTCGAATTCGGATACAGCATTGTTTGCCAGTGTTCTTGCTTATTGCTCCAGTTTCGAGGCGGCGGCTTTTCGGCGAAATGGGTCAAAAAGCAATTAGCATGCACGTTAAGCCAGAAACCAGAGTGCGCCAGTGCAGAGCTTTAACTGTAAAGCCGACAAAGGTTAGCGCCTGCGCCGGCAGCAACGACGGCGGCAACGGCGACGGCGACATCACTTCATTAAGTTTGCCTTGGCGGCTGCCTCAAACAGCAGAAACAAAAGAAAAACTCGTAATGATTGCAAATATTTATTTTGTTTACGCTCTTGCGCAATTGTTGATTCTGTGCGGCCAATGTGACCATAAAAACAGTCAAAACACATAAAAAAAAAAATCGAAATCGAAAGTGCATTCAACTTACAGAATCAGCCAACGTCTGCTACCCCTGCCTCTGCCCCGTCCCCCTCCCTGTATTCCTTCTCCACCTCCACTGATTAGTCAGACAAATCATAGAGCCCAAAATAGATGCTGGCATTGATGCGTGAAAACAAAAACCCAAATTACATTATAAAAGACATTTTGTTTCATTTCGCACAGCTGCCATTTGCAAAAGCACAAAATATTCGTGTGTAAATACGCAATTGTCGCTCTTTCAATGACATCAACAACAACAACAGCAAGAGTTTTCTGTCTCTTTCTCGCTGCCGCGAATGACTCACGTCCGAACTTCTTTCGATGCTGACACTCAAGGCAATGTATTTATTACCCCACAGCACTATTATCAGTCATGAGAAAAAACCTACTCTTTACAAAACATACATATGTATGTATATATAGTACTTGCATATCTCAATTCTCTTATGATGAATATTTCCAATTGTTCGTAAGCGAGTATATAAAAAAAAAAGATATGAAGCCAAGGGAATTTCCTAGAGCCAGTCAGAAATCAAGGCTTTAGTTTTAAAGATTTTCAGCAAGCGATTAAAAATATTTTCCAATTGGAGATAATCCCTGTGTAATATAAGCCGTATGTATCATTCGCTTAGAGATGCGAACTTTTAGAAATGACGAATCGTAACATCTTATATTGGAGAACACTATTTTTCTCTCTTTTTCTTTTCTGTATATGTATGTTTTGTTAGTAATTAGCTGCCTACTAATTGCCATAGCTTATTTCCACAGTGATTTATTTCCATTCTCCCCCTCTTAATAGCCCGCCCCCTTCTGAAATCGCTGCCCATAATCAAAGCAATAACCATGCACTCCCACCCCAATTGCCAATTCAAAGTTTCTGCACACACACACACTAACACACACGTGCATGCACGACGTAAAGAGCCAAAGCAGAGCCAAATGTCCAGCTAATGATAGGCTAACGCTCAATCAACGATAAAACTAAATTGTGGCACACGCGCCTCTAAAGCTCTGAGGCAGGGCTATTTATAGACCAGCTGCGAGTGCGAATGCGAGTGCGGGTACTGCTATCAGCTGCAGTCGCAGTGCACGTTCAATTAAAAAAGAGCAACAGCAACAACAATAACACAGCGTCTTGTAGTAGGTGCAGCGAACGCAAACTCACCTGACCACAATACACGCACAGCGGCGCAGAGAGTCACGCAGCGTCAAATTCACCACAGTCTAGCGTTCCAACCTGCCTCAAGAGGCCTAACGTAACGTAAGCGTTGGCGTCATCTACCTTTGGCTGGCCACCTTACGCTATATTTCTCGCTCTTCACATATTCTTCTTGCACATTTGACGCCGTCTTCGTTTTGGCTCTGTGTGTTGTATTGTTGCTTTGACGTTTTTTGGCGCTTCGTGGGGCCCACAAGCCGCACGACAATATTTGTGGCTTTCAGTTGCTTGCCGAACGCGCGCATGTTTGGACGTACGTCTCCAGAGTTGTGAAGCCGTTAAAGCAGTTTGTAACGGAAATTTCAGCTGCCGCTCAGCTGCGCGCGTCGCGCTCTCGCTTGCGTTGTGTTGTGTGTGCTGTGTTAATGTTGTTGTTGCTGCCATTGGCAACAGCGTTTATTAAAAAAGTATTTAAACTGCATTAGTTGTTAAACAAATTGGTAATTATGCGCGTGAATGCTTAAAGAAAAAAACAACAAAGCAAATATTGTTTTTATGGTTAAATGCCAACGATTTCGTCAACTGGCGTTAACTGCACAACATTAGCAACTAATTTGTTAAATTGCAATTTATTTTAATATTGATTTTTTTGCGTGTCACTGTGTCAGTGTCAATGGACAGCGAATAATTGGAGGTGCCTAAAACTTTAAGCACAATTACAGCTCTATGTGGGCGCCACTCGAAGCTCAGTGTCAAAACTTCTGCTTAGAAAAAAAAAATTGGGAAAATAAACTAAAAAAAAGAAGCAGCAGCAAGAAACAGCTGTCATTGATTTTGTTGTTTTGTCTGCACTTCCTCTTTGTCAAGTGCTTCTTCGCCTTGTTATCATATGCACTCCTGGCAACTGTCCTGCTCTCTCTCTCTCTCTCTCTCTCTGTCTCTTTCGCTCCCTCTCGCTCGCTCTATTAAAGATCTGTGTGTCGCCCTGTGCCAGCTCGTTCTTTGGAGGAGACATAGCAAATGTTGGCACTAAAAAATTGGAAATAAAAAGCCAAACGAAAATCCCAAAACCGGAATTGTGCAAATAAATCTCGATATAAGACTTGGATGGGCCACAGTGTCTGCGTTTCCTGCTGTTCGTGTTGTGACTGCGGCAAGAAGAAGCAGCACAAGCAGCAGCAGCAACAATAAGACTCGTACAAGGAAGCAAAATCTTATGTTGATTTGCCGTATTACGAGCACACAGAAATATTATTATTTATTTTCACCCATTAACGAAATTGCCGTTTGCCTAGGGGAGCAGTCCGATCGGATGCCCCCTCTCGCCACCTCTCTGCCTCCGCAAGTGTTGTACAACGCGAAAGTTTTGCATCTCCAACTGTTAAATGGGTGCTGGGAACTGCACGAATTGCAGCTGTCGCCTCGTAACCTACAAAATGAAACGAAAAGAAAAAAATTGTATATATTGCCTGCAAATTACCAAAGTACTCAAACACTGCTCCAAATACCGATGTCTTTCAATTAGACACAATTGCATTATAAGGCCAACTCTTGAACTGCCCCTCATCCCCCCCTCCTCCTACCACTTTAGCCAAATCTTCTGCCAGCTGCACACACGAGCCCAGCATTTACTTTAATATGCAAATAATGCTGTGGAATTTATAATGGCGAAAAAAAAAATGAAAACACAACTGAATAGAACCGAAGCGTAGCTATCTGTGCAAAATAAAAAACTCACAGTAGACAGGGGGCGGGGTGGGGGACTAGGGGCATAAACCTCATTTCAACGCGGCTAGTGGCTAAGTACGTAGTACCAGCCACTAAAAAAAGCGCTTCTATTTAGTTATAAACTCAAACACACGTTAAGAGAGAGAGACACACACACACATACACACTCATGTGCAGCAATATCTTGACAGTCTGTCTAGGAAGTATAAGTACAAAGGTTTTTAGAATTTATTGAAGACATTTTTTATAGGTTTTAAAAGAAAAAATTTGACTGAGACTTAAGAAGCTAATTCAAATTTATTTAAGAAAAGTGAAATCCGTTTAATTTTATGTGACTCTTAAAGAAAAAAAAGCAAGAATATGCTGGAAGAGTGCGGTGGAAAGCATAAAAAGTGAGGGCGAAAGATAATGTTAGAGAAGGGAAACTTAAAATTAAAATGCTTCCAAGTTCTGAATGTAATAAATTAAATTAGCGTATCAACTAGTTTAAATGCAATATTTTTAAGATGCAGTATAATTTTTATGCAACATTTTTCAATGGATTTTTACATCTAATATTTGATCGTTTTTCATTCGGAATTGATTTTTATTTTAATATAACTCCTTATGCTTTACTCCTATTTTTTGAATATTCGAATCTTCTGAAAGCCCTTTTCTAGACACTCTTTAAGATTGATAAATATTATATTTAGCTTGTTAAATATTGATACTTGCCAGTTTCTTGTTTGGTCTATACTCTTATTATCCTGTTTAAAACATAATCTTTTTAATTTAAACATGCACTTAAAGCAACTATAGTGTATACAGATTCGATTTCAATTTCTGAAAAATTTATTGAATTTCCTCAGCGCTCACTGTGTGCCCTTTTTTTCGCATGCTCTGCGTGCGCATACTTCTGGCAGCGACTGCACCCGAAACGTAGTTACAATTTTAATTATCTGTCAGCGTAATCTGTGCCCTGTGCGCTGCCCGCAACTGCGACTGCGACCGCGACGCCGACTGCGCTGCTGACGTGCCAGCGGCGAAACACTTCAGGCAGAGCTTCAACTGCAGAGGCTGTGGCATCAACAGCTTTTCAACGCTTTTTCTTATTTATTTTTTATTTATTTTTTGCTTTGTT